CGCTCCGTCACCAATGCTGTTCAACTTGGCACTTGAACACGTTATACGGAAAGTGTATCCACTTAATAGCGGAGTGCGTCTCAATGAATAGAATAAGGTTATAGGGTACACCGTTGACCTTGCGCTGCTAGGAGAAAGGAAAGCAGCACGTTATAAACGGATTCAACTGCCTCCAACAGGAAGTCTCTCGGATTGTCCAATCAAAGGGCCACGAAAAGACGGAATATCTTCCCATGCGTCGATATAAAAATGTTAGATGAAAGTGAGAAGACCTAGTTCTCGAAAATACAAAGTACAAAGCAGCGGCCAAATTCCGGTACCTTGTACAGTACAGTGCATGTAACACACACCAATAACAGGGAAGATGCGATTGAAATAGGCGCACAAAATGCAGTGCAGCCCTACTTTCTTCGAAGTTACTGAGCAGACTTTGGAAAAAGGCTACCAATCTATCAACGGATCGAAATCGCGATCCACTCGAGAAGATCCGGCGTGATCTGTGTCTATGGTGGGCTGTGTCTATGGATTAGTTTGCACGTTGAATTCTTCGTATTCGCACGTCGTATTCGACGTAACGCTGACCAATGCTTGGAGAGCTAAAAAGCACCAATATAACACAATCTCTTATTTAATAGTACGAACAATATTTCAGTGTTGCCTACTGCTATCCTTTATTGTTATTGCAATACGAGAAGCGATTTTCTTGAGTTCATCCAAGTTAAACTACTCATTGTTTCTCTCTACATACCTATGACATGACCATGACAATGGGGACTTTACGTCTCAGGCACATTCATTTATTTAATTTCCTTACAAATATAAATTCGTATAAATCCGTAGAAAATAACCTAAACATAAACATAACCAAAGAATACTTTTATACATATGTAGTATTCGTAATGAAAACATATTTATGGGTTGCATGATGTAAATGTGCGTACATAATACATTTATGCGTCTAGGTATATATAAGCCAAGGTCTAATATAATAGTCGACATCATACAGTGAACGGCCATGAGAATTATTCGCGGTTTCTGCTTAAAACTAAATAGGTAACCTTTTTTTTTTTTAAATTGACAAAACGTTCGAAAATTTTAAAATGTATTTGTACAAAATGTTAAATTCCTTCACCGATTTTATGTTATACGTAACGTGACCAGACGTCCCATTTTTAACGGCACTATTCCTTTTTATAATTACGAGTCCCGGTGTCCCCGAAATGAACTTTGGAACGCAAAATTGTCCCGTTTTCGGCCGAACCCGAGCGGTGTAAGCTATATTGAAGCAAATTTGTTCCTCTAATAAATACAAATATAACTAAACGTCTTGAGTCTATATGTTCTTTAATTCGTAAATTTCAAGCTAACTTTGCCGAATAATAATTTAAAAAAGTACTGTTTTTTCTATTATCTTCCTGTCAATTGTCCCAATACAAATAAACCAACGTCCCGTTTTGAGTAAAAATATAAATGGTCACGTTATTTATACGTGATGTTAATAGCTCGTGTGGGAATTGCGTATTATTGTAAATTTGTATTCATAAAGCGATCGAAATCATGACGGTATAGTGATTTTAATTAAGTCAAAAGAATACATATTAAAAATAAACTTTGACCGCGTACCTCACATCGCATATGGCGTGAATCGAACGTGATCCCGTAAAATATGAATGAGATGAAACCGCATAACGTTACTTATTTTCTATCTATGATGTTTTGTCCACAACATTATTTGATATTCTCATTAAATTTCGCCTTATAATGGAACTGAGTGTGTAATTTAATCACGCATCTTGTATCAAGATGATTAACAATTTTACAAATAACTAAATAGTTGGAGATCATATTAAGATTGTTTGATTATATCAGACGAATATTATAAAATTTAAAAGTAATTCTTTCAAATCGGTAACAACCACAGAGCTTTTCACGTACCAATTTAAATTCTAATTTTAAATTAAATCCTTTTATTATATCAAACGAATATTATAAAATTTAAAAGTAATTCTTTCAAATCGGTAACAACCACAGAGCTTTTCTTCACGTACCAATTTAAATTCTAATTTTAAATTAAATCCCGTTTTAATTATTATGTTAAATTCAATCCTATTTAAATATAAATATGAATTACTGTTCGTTAGTCTCGCTAAAACTCGAGAACGGCTGGACTGATTTGACTAATTTTGGTCTTGAATTATTTGTGGAAGTCTAGAGAAGGTTTAAAAGGTAGATAAATATGAAAATGTTCGGAATTAAATAAAAATAGCAATTTTGTTTTTCCTGTGATGTGTCGGACGGATTCATTTTGTTTGTATTAAGTTTATTTTATACAAAAGCTTAGGTCTTTTATTTATCAATCGAGGCACTGCGAAGTCTGCCGGGTCAACTAGTCCTATTTGAATTCAGTGGATTAAAATAGGAAAAGTGTGCGCTTTAACACGGGTATCTACGAGGTCTTGCTCATTAAAGTGTAATTAAATATAAGTCAGTTCACTAAAACACTATTAAATTTACCTATGTTTTCCCAAATGTCTAATCAAAGATACGTAAACGAGCAAAAAATTTTGTTCATAGACACTTCTTACTCTGATAATAAAGTTTTTGTAAACATTATTTAAGGAATGAGGATGTTAAGAAACGAACCAGTAAATTTATCGAAGCGACATATTAAATTTTAACATTAGATAAGAAAGGGCATTCACGAGAATAAAATACGTGGACTACAAGTTCGTCTAGCTGGTGAAGTCGTATTTTGTGCCGTTTTAAAACTAAACTGATAATGAATTGTTTAGTTAATGGATTTTAATCATCTTAATAAAGTAAATGTAAACACGTGGATTGCGTGGATATTTACAAACGCGGAGAAAGGATAAATTGGTTTATCTCTAAACGCATTCTCCTAATACCAAAAAACCCAGGATAATCCTATAAAACGAAGGGAGAAAAATGGTCTGACAAAATTAGCCTAAAATCGTCTAAAAATCAGCGTCTCCAGTCAAATCAACTCTGGGTGACACGGGTTCGCTCTAGCATGCCGCAGAGCAGATCGTATATCAAACGATCAGCAGTGTCGTCCTAGTGTAGATGCGATGCTAGAGACATCCTAGTAGCGATATATTCAGAAACACCAGCTATACCATCCGGACGGCTCGACCCATCGCTTTGTCCTTGAAGTACAGGATACAATGTTGACCGTGGTCGCCTCTCCTACCTCTCCCAGTTGAAGTTCGAACGCCGGGCCTGAATGCAATGCAGTTGTTCAGTGTGTGGATTCGGCATTCCCGCGCAGTGCCTGCGGAATTTGAACCCTAGTATAGTCTCATCACTAGATACTAGTACTCCAAGCGTCTTATATTTTAGACCATTATGTCCTCGATTATTTCTGTGAACGATCGCTATAAATCTGATTTGTTAATTGATTATTTTATAGCTGTTCTATGGCCAATACTAACTGTTGCTAAGCTAAATTTGAACGATAAGGTAATTTGAATCTAATGTACAACTAAATAAAACCTACTTTCGAAGTCATTCATATTTACTCGAACGTACTCTGAATTCATTTCAACAGCCAAAAAATGACATATTTTTATACAATTTGAATTTTGTATACAATATACGGAACCCTAAAAAAGTTTCCTCTCGCAATGTCCTCTCATCTGTTACGACTTGGTATGATAAATTAAAAAAAAAAACAATAAGCACACCTCTACTTGAAGTATCTAATTAAATCCAAACATTTCAACCATTTCTTCGATGAAGCCACTAAGGTCTTTTTACTGGTGGTAGGACCTCTTGTGAGTCCGCCCGGGTAGGCACCACCACCCTGCCTATTTCTGTCGTGAAGCAGTAAGGCGTTTCGGTTTCAAGGGTGGGGCAGCCGTTGTAACTATACTTGAGACCTTAGAACTTGTATCTCAAGGTGGGTGGCGCATTTACGTTGTAGATGTCTATAGGCTCCAATAACCACTTAACACCAGGAGGGCTGTGAGCTCGTCCGCCCATGTAAGCAATAAAAAAAAAGGTCTAAGGTCATATAACTAAGCCAATATGTTTATGCTTTTACCATTGAACGGTAGTCGCAATTGCAGCGCGACCGCCACACGTACACGGTTCTATTCGTTAAACCAGTTGTGAACAGTGGTACGAGACATGGCCTCATCTCGAAAATTCAGCTGAACTGGATTGTAGTACAGCGAAAATTATTGAAAAAACATACCGCAAAAATCCTTGGCCGCTTAGAATTGGCGGCTTATAAAAAAAAACGGGTTTGACACTAGTTTTTTTATATCTCATATAACTATTATTCATTTATTTTTGAATTATAACAAGAGGCTTCTGTTCTGTAATTTAGTATTAGTTTTTTTATTTTCGTATGGGTTCTAAACTGACAAGTTTAGAAAAACTTTTAATGTTACATTGCCGCGCTAAGTTAATAATAATAATAATTGATAAATTCATTACATCAATAAAATAAAAATGACCATTCGCCTATATTCATATCAACTATATTTATGTCATGAAACGACACGATGAAAACTGTAAAAAGCCATTTTATTTAAGACTAGCGAACCGCCCTCGCTTCGCTTCGGAAACATTAAAACACACATGAAACCAAAAAATAAATAAAAAAAATAATAAAAAAAGTAGCCTATGTTCATCAGGGACAATGTCGGCTTCTAATGGAAAAAGAATTGTTCAAATCGGTCCAGTAGTTTCGGAGCCTATTCGAAACAAACAAACAAACAAATCTTTCCTCTTTATAATATTAGTATAGATATAGAAGTATATTTAAAGAAAAAGTGCTCAAAAAAAATCACTCCTAATGTCGTTCATTGTATCAGGAGACCTTCGCCTAGTCTAGTTCATGTTCTTTATTCATTTTGTAAGTTATTTACGTATTTGGTCAAACAAATCTTTTAAACCCTTTGCTTAGTCTCGTAATGGAAACAAAATTTTAAATTTTAAGCTCATTCTATTTATAATATTAAATTCCATTGCAGATGGTATCGACGGGAAACAAGCGCGTCGCACCGGTACAAGCGGTCCTTTGGGCGAACTTTTCGACCACGGACTTGATTCCTACTCCGCAGTCCTCATACCGACATGTCTTTACAGTATATTCGGAAGGTATACAATGTATTATTAACTTAAACATCACCATTTTCATTGATAATAATTTGTTGTCTTTCAAGAATGCGTGACCTTGAAGTGTACGCTTTTTTTTCCATCACCAACGCTATATTTTCATAATTTGTTTGCTGATGACAAAAATTCAAAATATTTTTTGTTATGCATAATAATGGTTTCATGCTAAGTTGCTCGTGTATTACCGAACCGTGTATAAGTNTATTATTAACTTAAACATCACCATTTTCATTGATAATAATTTGTTGTCTTTCAAGAATGCGTGACCTTGAAGTGTACGCTTTTTTTTCCATCACCAACGCTATATTTTCATAATTTGTTTGCTGATGACAAAAATTCAAAATATTTTTTGTTATGCATAATAATGGTTTCATGCTAAGTTGCTCGTGTATTACCGAACCGTGTATAAGTGAAACATTATGTTACACTTATAGACATATTATTATGTTTAGACTCGAATGAAATATAGTAGAAATCAGCTTAAAATTGGTTCGCGCTTGGAATAATTTCACTGACAATAAGATTAGAAGCAATCAGCACTGCTTCTAATCTTATTGTTAAAGGGGGAAAACATATAATCAATAAATAACGAATAACTTATTAATAAAACTATTCCATGAATGTTTACAAAATTTCAAAACAAATTTGTAATTAGTTCGGATGCTATGAACCCTAAAGTGAACGCACATAGATTTCCACTACTTTCCACTTCACATGTGCAAAAAAACCACGTATTCGTAATTCGCTGATCCGATTATCCAATCCATTATCCTTTTCGCTACTATCGGTGATTATAGTCACCTGATGAAAGCAATGCCTATACACGATGGGTGATGTGCGCACTTTCACCACGGAGTTCCTATTCCTGCGAAACACTACAGCTACAGTCCTGCCGTAGCGAAAGGCTTTAGCAGCAATTACACCGTTCTCAACCTTTTTGCAGACAAGGTCTCTTTCGCTGGGCACAATATTAGTTTGCCTCAAATAAATATCGTCTATAGTCTATCTCTCAAGTATCGCTTCTTGATTGACCTTCTAGTCGTCACAACTGAACGTTACCTATATCTTCAGGTCGTCCCTGAATATTCCCGATCCTGCGGACAGAATGGAAAGCAGTCGACGTCGCCCAAAACACGTCATCTCGGATCCTCCCGATCCACTAACGGTGCTTTTAGGTACTTCAAGCACCGGTCACCGTTCTCGTCGAACCCGTCGCTCGCGACGAAGGGCTCGACGAGTAAATTAACTCTCGGACACAGCCCACTGAGTTTCTCGCCCGATCTTCTCAGTGGGTCGCGTTTCCGATCCGGTGGTAGATTCTGCGAAGCACGGCTCTTGCTAGGGTTCATGTTAGCAACGTCATCAGGTTTGAGCCCTGTGAGCTCACCTACTAAAGTTAGGGTTACACTGACATAGCCCCTAGGGCTATCAGCTTAGGTAGGAAAAAAAAACAAAAAAAAAACGTCCCTGAATTTAAAACAAAAGACCGTCGCCTATCTTTCTTTGCATGTATAGGTAAAACTTCTCGAGCCATATCGAAATAATTCACGTTCACAATTAACAATGAATTTTGAATAATATAGCAAGGATATGCTAATTTACAGTACAAATCTATGCATTGCGCTCTATTGGACTAATTTAGATTGTGTGTTGTGTTTTTAAATGTACCTAATCGTGTGAATACATTTGCATTAAAAATTTTGGAATTTTCTTCCATACTTAGTATTCATTCCCAATACGCAATACATCGGAACGTGTTTATTAATTCCAATTTAAAGAAAAACAAAACACTTATTTCGTCCAGTATGCGTACAGCTGTTATTTTATCAGTTAAACATTTACAAATTACAATTTTAATCATCTATGTCACCATGTTACCATGTTTTGTGATAAAAACGCTAGTTCTGTGATTAGAAACGCAAACTGATAAAATTACTTTAAACAAACACATACTAAAGGAAGACTGAAATAATCGTTTCATACTTGTTGCAAATGATGTGACAATAAAAAACCAGCAGCGTAACGACAAGTTCTTTTATTTGTGCGAGAAAGCAGAAAGCAGGTAGAAATGGCCGGCATGGTTTGTTTTATTAACACTATCCCCCCTTCGTTGGCTTTGGCTATGGAGGGTACTTCTACCCTCCATAGCTTTGGCTAGCGGCAGTGGCGGAAGGGGGCGTGTTAACATGGCATGGCGGCTTGGCTGGCGGCAGCTGTGACGTCACGTCCGTTACATACTATAGTAAATATTCGTTTTATACTATAGTTTTTGTAACTGTAGTATTTTACAAAAATAAAAAAGTAAATAAAAAATAATAATAAGAATCATAAAATTTTTCGATATAGTGAGTTTATTAATAAAATCCAAGAATATCGAATATTAAGAAACTATCATTTTTAAATTAAATGATGTACGTTATTTTTTTGTCTATATCTTCAACATTCGTTCCAATATAAGCAGTTTGCACCAAATATTAAAGTCGAGAATCCAACTATAGCACTCGCTGTCGCGCGTGAATTTTTTGTTACGTGACGTCATCGCAGATTTTGTATAATTGATTTTTTGATAAGAAAAATCATCAAATCTATGCGCTGTTAGAATTTAAAACATTAATTTTCGTTTTGTTTTCCTTGCTTCTTCGCTGGTAGCCCTAAGGGGCTCACAGGCTCAAGAGAATTTACTAACAATAGCCCTAGCAAGAGCAGTGCTTCGCAGAATCTACCAACGGATCGGAATCGCGACTCACTGAGAAGATCCGACGACAACCTCAGTGAGCTGTGTCTATGAGTTAAATCAGTTTCGTCTAGTTTTTACAAGAGCACTTGTCCAGCCACAGTCCATTTTATATGACTAGGGGTCGCCGGACCCCGTAGACATATTTTTAAAACATATTTATTTGCATTCGCGATCCGAACGTACCGGCCTTCTTGTCTTAAAAGGTGCATTTTTCCAACTTCTACAACGAATTCGTTTGGGTCCATTGAAAATACTGATTTCTTTATTCGTTCCCGACTTCAAGTTGTCACAAGCAACACGATGTTACAGGGACGAGGTCAGCCCGCTGAGGTTCTTCTTCGTGATATGGAATATCTTCATCAACTTCTATTTGACGCACTGGGAGAAGTACAACACCGGCGTCATGTTCTTGCCTTGGGGATACGATTTCACTATGCTCGTAAGTTGGTAATTTACTAGAAATTTAGAACGTCTACCTGTTTTTTCGTTTTTCTGAAGGTCGTCGTGGCCTAATGGGCTTGTATCGAGAGATGCTTACTATACCGCAGACAGGTACCGATTTTCCTATAGGTACCTAAAGCCGCAATGTGTTGCAGTTTGAATAGCGGGGCAGCCGTTTTTTTTTTTGTTTTTTTTTATTGCCCTTGTAGGCAGACGAGCATACGGCCCACCTGATGGTGAGTGATTACCGTCGCCCATGGACTTCAGCAATGCCAGGGGCAGAGCCAAGCCGCTGCCTACCGCAAAAGCCGGTATACAATACGATTGAGACTTCAACCTGTCAACCCTCATTGTCTCACTGTGGATAGCGGGGTTCACGTAATGTTCATACCGATCCTGCGGAGCGAATGGTAAACAGTCGACGTCGCCCTAAACATGTCACGCTTTTAGGTAACTCAAGCACCGGTCATCGTTCTCGTCGAACCCGTCGCTTGCGTTGTTGCAGCGAGTAAATAAACCCACAGACACAGCCTGAGCACACACTGAGTTTCTCGCCGGATCTTCTCAGTGGGTCGCGCTGCCGATCTGGTCGTAGATTCTGCGAAGCACTGCTCTTGCTGGGACTAGTGTTAGCAACGTTCTCACACTAGAGCCCAGTGTGCTTAACTACTCGCTCAGTTGCGCTGGCATAGCCCTCTAAGGCTACTAAGCTTAGGTAGCAAAAAAATATTAACAACATGTGAGACGGAAGGTCGTTCAATCATATATACTCGTACAATAAAAAAGTAAATCCTGAATATTCGATTAGAAAAAACATTAAAGTTACATATTATGTACGGTTTTTGTAGCTAAATCAAATTTCGATTTCCCGTTGAAAATTTATTTCGCCTTCGGTTTTGGCGCGAATTTTAAATGCCGAATGAAAAAGGTTTTTATTTAGAAAGTTTGATCCGATAAGTGACGATCTCCTCTTGTAACAAAGCTGCAAAAAAACAATCTTTGCATTGTACCTAGGTATTCATATGTATTCATAATAAAACATATGACACCGAGCGATGTCCCTTTAATACGAAAATTCACGATTATCGAAATTCGACCTTAATCTCTCGTTTTTTAGATTCATTTATGTATTTAATTTTCTTTATTGTTATCTATTATTACTAGTTTACTGGTGGTAGGACCTCTGGTGAATCCGCACGGGTAGGTACTACCACCCTGCCTATTTCTGCCGTGAAGCAGTAACGCGTTTCGGTGTGAAGGGTGGGGTAGCCGTAGTTAAAAGTGAGACCTTAGAACTCATGTCTCAAGGTGGGTGACGGCATTTACGTTGTAGATATCTATGCGCTCCAGTAACCATTTAACATCAGGTGGGCTGTGAGCTCGTCCACCCATCTAAGCAATAACAAAAAAATAAATAAATTGATAGTCGGATATTCCTTATGGTAGGGTTCGTGTGTACTGCTGCTGGTGACGTCGGCGACAGGGCCGGAGGCGTGGCACGTGCCGCTGCCCGGTGGCCTCACGCCCGGCATCGTGTTCGAGTTCGTGCTGTACTTCTCCGCAATTATCACCAGCCAAACGGTCATACTCTGGAATATCTACAAGTATATTCTGAATTTATTAATTTAGTGTTTTGTAAATTTGATGCTCGTCTGTGTGACTGTGAATGCCTTGGCCGCATATTGCCCGGCGTGCGCCATCTTGGTTGATTAAAAATTAGTTTAAGTAATAGTCATTAATAATAAGATTAGTTATTTGATTAAAGATTAAGATCTTTAACGAAATTAATTAAAGATCTTTAACGAAATTCTGTGTACTTACCATTACTGGTGGTAGGACCTCTTGTGAGTCTGCGCGGGNGTCTGTGTGACTGTGAATGCCTTGGCCGCATATTGCCCGGCGTGCGCCATCTTGGTTGATTAAAAATTAGTTTAAGTAATAGTCATTAATAATAAGATTAGTTATTTGATTAAAGATTAAGATCTTTAACGAAATTAATTAAAGATCTTTAACGAAATTCTGTGTACTTACCATTACTGGTGGTAGGACCTCTTGTGAGTCTGCGCGGGTAGGTACCACCACCCTGCCCATTTTCTGCCGTTAAGCAGTAATGCGTTTCGGTTTGAAGGGTAGGGCAGCCGTTGTAACTATACTGAGATCTTAGAACTTATATCTCAAGGTGGGTGGCGCATTTACGTTGTAGATGTCTATGGGCTCCAGTAACCACTTAACACCAGGTGGGCTGTGAGATCGTCCACTCGTCTAAGCAATAAAAAAAAAAGTGTACCTAAATCAAACATTGTCACGTACAATGTGCATCGTGTTGATTCCAGATCGTACCGCGACGGAACCGGCAAGATGCGTTCGTTTACCGAAGCGATACGTCCTCTGGTACCTCTGGTCGCGTTCTTGGCGCTGAGCACGGCCTGGGCGGTCTACTCGCCGAACAACATCATCGAACTCGGGCCCAGACTGTTCTACGTGCTCACCGGGACTATATTCTCCAATATCAATGTTAGTGGAAAGATCATTACATCGTGCGAGTGAAATTGCTCAGTAGACAGGCGGAGGGTCTAAACGTTATTCGGAACTTGTATTTTTTATTTATTTAAAAAAGTACTGCCACATCACAAACATTTAACATTGAAAATAACTTAAACTATTTAATTTATGGCCTGACATGCATGTGAAAATAATGGCGTACATATCATCGGGAATTCATCGGCTCGAAGATGGAATACAATAATATTAAAAAAAATTAATGAAAACATACTTTGAGATTCAAATTTAACAAGTAAAACAGTAATAATTGTTGAAATATTAATATGAATGTTTTTTTTATTGCTCAGGTGGGTGGACGAGCTCACAGCCCACCTAGTGTTAAGTGGTTACTGGAGCCCATGGGCATCTACAACGTAAATGCGCCACCCTCCTTGAGATATAAGTTCTAAGATCTCAGTATAGTTACAACGGCTGCTCCACCCTTCAAACCGAAACGCATCACTGCTTCACGGCAGAAATAAGCAGGGCGGTGGTACCTACCCGCGCGGACTCACAAGAGGTCCTACCACCAGTAATGTCTAATAAATTATGTCATGTCATATCAAAAACAAAACAAAATAGAAGAAATGTCAATATAATTACAAGTAACAACAAGTAAGTTATAAAACAACAAATGATTAACGATTAAAGTATTATTTGCAAACATATCCTGAAATGTCGTTAGCGCTATTCAGGCATCCAATAAATCTGCCTTCCGTTATATGATAGCTTTAACGGTAGGCAGCGGCTTGGCTCTGCCCCTGGCATTGCTGAAGACCATGGGCGATGGTAACCATTCACTATCAGGTGGGCCGTATGCTCGTCTACCTACACGAGCAATAACAGAAAAAAACCCTACAAATTACAGTCATCAAAATGAATATATGTACACAATTCGAAAATAAATATACGTTAATATTAATATGGAGGGTAGACATAAAAAAATTTACAAGTTGAGTAAATGTGGGGCTGTAAGAGGAGGATCATAACTCAAAAACCCACCAAAGCAGTGCTAGCGTAGCAAGTGGTATGAATGAAGCAATTGTACCTAGAGTGAAGTTTGCTGAGTTAAACGATTTAATACAATATTTTTGGCGCTATCTTTAAAATGACCCCACTTGCTACGGTGGCGCCATCTTATTTTGACAAGTTTTTATACACAGAGTGTTTTCCTTACCTCTACTCTCATAGTTAACGCACAACGAACCTCTAGTTCGAAGTTGGCGCACTAACGCAGTCTCTCTGTTTATATCAACTGATCAGATGTTAAATAATATTAAAAATTAGTAACCGCTACTTACAGGCAGTAAAAATCTGTAACTTCGTGAGATAATCCCTCCCATGTTTATTAATAAGTTGTGACCGCTTTCGCAATACATTGAATTTTATATTAAATAGTTCTAACTGAGCACCAGAAATATATCATATGCCATAGAAGAGTATCATATCTTATCATATCTTTGATGATTCATTCACCGTCCAAGCGGTTCGATTGTGGAATACTCTGCCGGATGCAGTGAGAAGTGTTCCAACTTTTAACTGTTTTAAAAGAATGATGAAGAAACACTACTTATCTGCTTAGTGCTGTTTGTTTGCATCATCATTTATTATTTCAATACTGTTGGTGTATTATGTGTATGTAAATATATTAGTATGTATTGTATGTAAGTATGTATATTGGTATATAAATATTAGTATATATTTCATATTATATGTAAACGGTATATATTTTATTTATTGTATGTATATATTTTCGATAATAATGTATTATCTATAGTACACCGCAAAATACCTGCTATATTTTTATATTTTCCAGAATTTCTGTAAATTAAACGGTTGTCTGGAAGAGATCGCTTTTAGCGATAAGACCGCCTATTGTACAAATGTATCTGCTTTTTTGATTGTTTTTTGAATGTAAATTGTGTTTTGGTGTACATAAAAGTGTATTCTCTCTTATATTAAACTTGTTAATTAGACCTCACAGTTGGGGTGCGGTTGTTCACGTGTTGTCTACGGGTTCCAATGACCACGTCTTTGTTGATTTCTAGTGTCGCCTAATCGTGTCTCAGATGAGTGACACTCGTTGTGAGGCGCTGAACGAGCTGTTGGTTCCGTACGCGGCGGTGGTGGCGGTGGCGCTGTGCCGGCCCGTGTCCGCCTCCACCGAGCTCATGATGCTGGCCGGGCTGTGTGTCGCCAGCTCCCTCGCACACATATACTATGGCACTAAAGTGGTGAGTTTCTATTTAGTGTATAAATCTTTTTTTTTATGATTGAAAGATTACTGGTGGCCCGAAGGCCTTTCCAATTTCACCAGGACAGGTGGGCGAGCAAACACTCAGCCAGGAGGGGTGGGATTTGCTAACAGCTGCCCGAGTGCCTCCGAAGGAGACTTAACAACTCAAGAGCAATTGCTTCGCGAATGAATCTACTACCGGATCGGAATCGCGACCCGCTGAGAAGATCCGGCGAGAAACTCAGTGGGCTGATGCATGGGCTAGGTTGCACGTCGACCTCTTTGTCGAGTTCGACGAGTACGGTTACCGTGTATAAATCTCTGGACCAGCTCACGGGAACCCATAGACTGGTGGTCTGGTTATTGGTGGTAGGACCTCTTGTGAGTCCGGGCGGATAGCTACCACCACCCTGCCTATTTTTGCCGTGGAGCAGTAATGCATTTCGGTGAAGGGTGAGGGCAGCCTTTGACCTGAGACCTTAGAACTTATATCTCAAGGTGGGTGGCGCATTTACGTTGTGGATGTCTATGGGCTCCAGTAACCACTTAACACCAGGTGGGCTGTGAGCCCGTCCACCCATCTAAGCAATAAAAAAAAACATCAGCAACATAAATACCGTCAATCACTTTGATTCGTAAGTTCTAAGTCTCAGTTTTACAGTACAACGGCTACCCCACCCTTCAAACCGAAATGCAGTACGTACTGCTTCACAACAGAAATGAGCAGGGTGGTGGTATCACCTCGGCCCTTCTCTTCTCCCCTTCTTCCTCTCAGGAGGCGCCGGAGTCCGACATAACCCCGTCCGTTACCCCCCTCGACCGGGTATCCGTAAATGGATTCCCCAGCGTTAAAAAAAAGGGTGTTGGTTTCTATGTGTACGGACTCACGAGATACCTTACCATCAGTTTATAAAATTAAAGCATTTCGACTCAGAGAATGAAATTAAGAAACTTAACTTTATACCACAATAAAAATACAGAAAATTTAGATAAGAAATCATAGATAAGAAAAACGAAATTACAAGTTTATCTGTACTGAATTAATCAAAATTTTTCAGGTGCAAGAAATGTGCGAACATTTCAAAATCGAATGTTTCCATATCAAGCCAAAGATAAAGTAACTATGTTATTCCATTAGTTTTTAATCTATTGATCTGATCAACATATTATACCTCTATAAAATTGTGTGGTTGTATGTGTATTTAATGTTACATAGTTAATGTAGTGGTAGTGTCACTTGTGATGGTAAACGTTTAGAAATTTGAAATTTTGTAGGTGAATGTGCAAGTCTTTTAGATATTACTATTGTTATGTGATATACGGACTCATAGTTAAATTTATAATAATGAATACCTTAATAATTGGAAGGGCGAGCCCATTGTGGTCTTGTTTATAGTAGACCATTATAATTTTGGATTGACCTGGGAAGTGTCAAGACTTAGAAATTAACATTAAATTCAAAATTACAAATTGTAGGAATTTTTTGTCTACTAAACATTATTTTTATTATTAATTTTTCTGTGGGACTGATCTTTGTGGTCATAAAACTAGTGAAACTAGTCATTATCGATTTTATTTGCCTAATTATAAAATATATATATACATATTGTTTAATTTGCCATTAATTCTAGTATGTAGGACTCTTGTAGCCACCATCAGAATGGTGTGCTTCAGATTAAATTTCAATAAACTGATTTTACTGTGCAGTGTGTGGAATCCACTGTAATACGAATCTGAATTAAATTATTCATGTAACTAAAGATCCTTATCTCCTACTATTTTAGAAAATAATTATCGTGATCTTTAATTCTAATATACACTGTTTTGTCTCCTGGTGTATTATATTTTTTCAATACCAAAAATCGCTTAAGCATTTACAAGAAAACTTATTTCATGTGGAATTGAATTAGTAGTGTTTGTTGCATGTTACCATTATATTTTAAATAGTAAAATTGTACTCGAAAGGATTGTAATGAGTTGAACTTTTTCCGGAACCATTAATATTGGACATTGGTTAAACAATATTATGTCACATACTACAGTAAAATTAATCACTGTGAGAAATTATAGGTGTACAAAAAATGAATTAAAAAACTATCTGACATTTCATTTTGTTATGATAATATATTAGATTTCAATGTTTATTTTGTACTATTTTAGATATAGTTTATTATATGCTTTTGGTATATGAAATTGTGCATGCTGATTTAAAAGGCAACACAGCACTCAATAGCATTGCATATATGGACCGTTTATTTTGAAAGTGGCGTAAGTCCATTTTCTTTTGTTACAGGCAAATACAGGCAAATCATATGAGGTCTGGCTATGCCACCAACCTCTGTCAATTGGACTTACACCACTTTCATAATCGATGATTATGCAATTTCATTTACCGACCGATTTTAAGTTGTACAAAACATGGGATTTTTTTTGAGAAATTAAACACGGACTAGTTATATATAAAAAAATTACATTAAATTAAGCATGAATTACGTGATTTTCTCAAAAATGATTATTTTTTCTCAAAATGAATCATTTTTCTCATTTTTCTCAAAAATGAACTTACAGCACTTTCAAAATAAACGGTCCATATATTGTTTGAATGCTCTACTCACGACTAGTGTAATAAGAACGTTATTCTGTTTCTTACACACATTATTTCTTTACATTGTCTTCAAAATGGAATCTCTTATTATTATTTCAATTTAATGTATAAATTGTATCGTTGCGATGCGAATTCTGAATATATAAATAAGAAATGATAATGTTAAAAAAGCATCACTTACACTAGCTACACAATGATGAATTTAAAATTATCCAAAATTCCAACAGGTTTTACTCCAATGTAACATTTAAAAGAATATTCAAAAATATTGGACTCATTGTAACAAAATATGCTACACCCGAATATGTGGTAGCAGATATTGCCAGAAATATCAGTGGCCTAATAAATGTACGTGTACTTGTACAGGCATTATAACCATTTGGAACAAGCATTATACCCACGTTTGTAAAAAAATACGTAAGTACTCAATGTTCGCAATGTAATAAAAATAGCCTCAATGTAGGATTTTCTAATGTTTTTATGGGTCCTGGAAATACAAACGATAAAATAAGTACAGCCAGATTCCAAATAACTTTCACAAAGGTGATCGACTGGGAATCCAAACAGTGTGCTTAGTGCGATTTTTTTTTTATTGCTTAGATGGGTGGTAGTGCTCACAGCCCACCTGGTGTTAAGTGGTAACTGGAGCCCATAGACATCCACAACGTAAATGCGTCACCCACCTTGAGATTTGTTCTAAGGTCTCACGTATAGTTACAACGGCTGCCCCACCCTTCAAACCGAAACGCATTACTGCTTCACGGCAGAAATAGGCGGGGTGGTGGTACCTACCCGTGCGGACTCACAAGAGGTCCTACCACCAGTAAGAACGTTCTTACGTCTTAACGTTCTCGATAGCGTAAAAGTTAGCTCATATTTGTATGGAATGGGATCGTTTGCCTACGTTTGCCGCTAGGGGCGCTGTTCCAACTGCATACAAAATTGGCTTCACTTTTACGCTATGGAGAACGTCAAGAAACTCGCACTAAGCACACAGGTATCCCCCGTAGTGAGAATAACTAACCATTTGACCAAGGAGGCGGTGGAGTTAAATTTATAATTACTAATCATGGATATTTTGTGAATCTGCATACGTCACTACTTTCTTTAACATTGATACTATGAAATATTGATGTGAAGGCGATAAACGTCTTGTTCTATTACCAATTAAAAAAACCTAATATATGAAGTGTATAATTTATGCACTAAACTGTCAATGATTGAATATGGTCTCAGTGGATTATCTTACTGCCTCTATCAGTAATTTACTGTTTGAAGTTGCTATCTTTTATTTAACAGTAACAATAAGTGAGAAAAAAAAAGTTCGCAAGCTATCAGTTTATTTTTTAAATCCAAATTTTTGTTCCTGTGCTCATCCTGGACTGAGCGGAGGCCACGCAACGGTTAACATTTCCCAATGAATGCTTATAGCAAATTTTCTTTTAATTTGAAATGGTAAATGTTCTCAAACAAATGGTATTTTTTTAAATATCATAATTCCATTTATTATATTTTTCGTTTTTATTTAGTAGACTTTGTGGAGTAGTGGACTTCGATTATGTAGGTATATAATCAAAGCTAGTGGACTTTATTATTTTGGGGGTTAAATTATGTTATGGTGACTACATAAAGATTGTGTAGATGTTATTAAATTACGATCTTTCAAGTGACAATGTTTTTTATTTTGCAATAAAGATTATTTATTTACAATTTGATCGTGTTTTATTTATCTAAAGCCTTCGTCAAACAGAACGCGTACTTAGCGCGCGTCAGAGCGCTACGCTATGACGCCGAGATGTGATGTACTACTGTGGTAACATACCGTCACACAGAGCGCCAGTGCTATAGCGCTTATAGCGCTGGCGCTCTGTGTGACGGTATGTTACCATAGTAGTACAACACATCTCGGCGTAATAGCGCGGCGTCATTTTAGCGCTCTGACGCGCGCTAATTACGCGTTCTGTTTGACGAAGCCTTTATATTGAGCAATAAAAAAAATACATAATGAGGAAAAAAATTCAAAACAAATAAGCAAATACAAAAGAGTGCAGTACAAAATTTAACTCAGTTATCTCTAGTACCGTTGGTCGGATCAGATAACTGCGCTCACTGGTCTCTGTTGCAAATGCCCTGAGAAAAGCCGAAAACCGACGCAAACGGTACAAAGAGCCACGAAGGGCTTTCAGGGACACGACCTTCAGCAAGGTACCTAGTTAGTATTCGACTAAGAAGAATATATCTAGTAGACACCGTACTCAGCAGCCATTACTCAACTCATTAAACGTAAACGTATGTAAACGCAGAGTTCGTATAAATTTCGTCCACTGAGTTCCTCGCTGGATCTTTTCAGTGGGTCGCGTTTCCGATCCGGTGGTGGGTTCTGCGAAGCACGGCTCTCGCTAGGGTTCGTGTTAGTAACAGCATCAGGTTTGAGCCCCGTGAGCTCACCTACTAGCCCGGTGACGCCGATATGGTTTCTTACTATCAGCTTAGGAAGGAAAAAAGTATAAATTTCTCCAGTGTCATGGTGGTGGTCCAGTGCAATAAATTAAATTAGATTATTATTAAGTTGAATTTGGTGGCGATTAATCGCCTTAAGAAATGAAACCTCTATTTTTTAAAGCGTCCTCGAACCGCAACTTATTTTCCTGCGTTTGTCAACAGATATAATTTTTTTAGCAATTGGCAAATGTTTTAGTATATACAAAAAAATCCACAATTACAATAAAATATTAATAATACAAAAGAGAAAATGCATTAGACAGATGAATATTGAAGTCGTTGTGACCTAAAGGATAAGGACGCCTGGTGCCGCCCGGTATCGATCGTTGCAACTGCGCTGGTGTTTGAATCACGCAGGCCAGTATATTTTTTTCTAATAAATACGCACCTAAAACATGTTCACGAATAACTACCATAGTAAAGAAGCAACAATTGTGTAATGAAAATCAAACTCGCAATACATAATTTTACTCTGCATGGTTCACTAGTAATAGTCTCTAGTCTTCCAATTTCTGGCATGGAACAGCAATGCGGTTCGGTTTGACGGGTGTGGCAGCAATTATACTATAAAATTGACACTTAGTGCATATGTTTTAAGGTTCATGGGGATTTACATTATTGACGTTTTTGTGTTACCATAACCAGTTAACACAAGGTAGGCTGTAAACTCTTCTACCCATCTAAGCTATTCTAAGCAATATAAATAAAAGAAACATTTGGTGTTAAAAATTATGGTCGACTTTTGACCTCCGCACAAACAGCAGCAGAAATAAAAACAAGGTTAATATTATAATCAATGCATTTATTAACAAAAAAAACAATTAACACATGGAACTAACAGTCTCATTAACCTCTTCACCTATTGATAACAATTTTCTCCATTGTTCTGGAGTGAGACTTATCCCTTTTTTACCTGGTAAAAGTTCACCATTCTTTTCATAAAATTCTCTTATGTCTACATATACTTTTCCTTTGAATTCTCGGACTTTCAGTAATTTCTTGCCCTGTAACACCCATGTTGGCTCTTTATCATTAGTCCTGTCTGCCATTTTTGCCTTTTTTTCAGCAGGAGGGTTCCTCTGGGAGCAAAAATTTTACATTGATGAAAAGTGAGTAATTTTATAATAAATAAAACTATAATCTGAAATAAATAAAATCTATAATTAAATACAAATAGTCAACTTAGTAGGCTTTTTTATTGGTCCAACATGTACATGTGCATGAACGTACAACACACATCATGTTGCTATTGTGTCTCTCGTAGACCTCAGCAATGTCAGGGGCATAGTCAAGACCCTTTAATATGGATATTACATTATTTAGTAGATGTCTATACACAGACAGGCATACGTTTGCATAGTTTTCTGATTCTCATGATTTTCTGCTGATGGGTGGCATGTCACTGAGATCCCAACTCTTCCAAAGAGTTCTTCATGTAACCAACTAAATTAGTGAATAGCCCAGTGGTCAATGGAAGCAGTACATGAGCAGTTTATTTTAGGTTTATTAGGTGTCATTTTTATTTGTTCAAAAGATGGGGTATAATTGGTTTTACCTCTAAACCTTGGCAGGGCATAGTATCTATGTATTCCTAATTCACTAAGTCCCTCGAAAACTCTGGATTTAATACTTAAAAATTTTAGCAATTTTTCAGTATTGTACCAACAAGTCTGCAGCAAACAAACCCACTAAATAATATCAGTTACTTTACCAAAAGACAAGTTCTTATTTTTGGAGGTAATATTTTTTAAGTTATTTTTCCAGTGCTAAAGGTAGGTAGGTAATTAGTGATCAGATATTGAGAAAAAAATGTTGAGAATATAGGGTTTCAAAATGAAGTACCCAAGGAATTACTTAAAGATTTGGAGAGAATGAAGACGCCGACAATTTAATTAATAGTAATATATATATATATATATATGTAATTTTGAAGTGAAACTTTATTTCGATGCACATTATCAATCTTATATATGACAAAAAGCCACAACACCGGCAACCTATCTTTACGCATGTTTTTTTATTTTTTGTCATCCACGTAGACAAAAAATACTGCCGTTGAATAATAAAGATAGAATTAAAGTTACTTACATCTTCAGGGCCGTCATCACTGTCACTACTAGAACTATCGTTTTTCTTGTTCTTAGGTTTTTCTTCTCTCTTTTGTTTAGGCATTATTGAAAATTGCAAACGATTGAATTCTGTATAGGATATAACCTAACTAAACTTAACCGGCAGTACCACAAGGTAGAATTAATTTGTTTAAGGAAAAAAAATTTTTTTTCTATTATTATTTAAAGGAAAATTCCAAAAAACAAAAGGAAGGTAGAAGTAATTTTTAAACTCTAATGTTTGCCATAAAACGCCGTTAATGATAGGTACGTATTTTTTTAATGGATTTTAGGACCTGGTAACTGAGACCTTTCGGTCATGTCTTATTTTAATTTATATTCTTATTTTTATGAAAAATATGGAATATGGAGTGAAATGATCATGATTAATTTGAGGCATTTATCAACTGGGATGAAATTAAATGAAATGGGATGAAATGTAATCTCAGTAAAATGGTGATCATTTACGGAAATTTTTTCAGTGGACTGTTTGGAGGATTCCGAGAAGTTATGTCCAGCGGCTTTATTTAATTTTCTTACATTTGTGCACTTTCACAGATACTAAACCACCGTAATTACACATTTAAATCTGAAGAATCACTAAATAGACAAAATAAAACAAATCACACTTCACTCCTCGCGCTCCCGCCAAAAAGGGCCTGATACCATACCTACTTTTGTACCATAGACAACACGATTAAGATTTGAAATTGAAATTTCTTGTCACTTGATACTTGATCACGCAAAGGGATATTTCATTATTCATTACCGGTAAAATGGGGCGATTAGGGACAAATTCCAACTTTATGACCAATTTTAAGGTAGTTGTTGATGTATATAATGCTCTATCAGGATCAAAATGATTGAGTCTTGGGGGCATCTTTATTGTCCAATTTAAAACTATGCAACTAGCATTCCAGTTTAAGCAAAAAAAGCAAAAATAGGTGTAATCCCTATTTACCCGAAAATTGCGGTTAATTGGGACGAAATGAGAAATTTGCTAGGGTTGAGAAATTTGCTACTTGGTTTTAATTTATTTATTTATTTAGTTGCACCAACAAAGTGATCATCAATAAAAGACATTGAAAAACTGACATTATGAACAAATATTTAATATTTTATTATGTATTACTTAGACATTTTTGTCCACCTTGAGATTTCATTGTTCTTATTACATGTCTGTGCAAAATCGACTTACTTATATTAAATTGCTTAGCTATTTCAACTAAAGACTTATTCCCAATTAGGCAATTGCCCAATTGCTGTTTTTAATATTAAGGGATAATATATAGGCTTTGCACTCTTTGATATGTACACGCGAGGCATATCTAAAAATAGAAAACAATACGTAACTGATAATATAAATATTTACCAAACAATAAAATAACACATTGATAATTTTGAATAAAAGTTCTAGACAAAAACATCATGAATAAACCAGATTTTTACCNAATTGTGGTGAAAACTCGAGTAAGGATAGTCTATCGGCCGTATTGTGTTCGACCGTACCAGTAGCTATTACGTAGTCGTAGCCCGGTAGAAATCGGTGTCTCTTGAGGCAACTCAAGTAGTCCGTGGGTGCGCGGTGCGCGTTTGGCTCTGGCGGAGGTCGGGGTCTGTAAAGACCATCGTGTGTAGTCAGCGGGTGATTCACACGGGCGATCCACGCTGTGGATGCGCATCATGAGGGCAATTGCGATTGCTGGTCGGCTGGAGAGCCGTGGCGTTAGATATTTTTACTCGGAAGTTTTCTTAGATCTGAGTTCCTGTAAGCTATGCCTGATTTGTACAGAGTAAATTTGAAGTTTGATGAACGACTGTGGTACGTGCTCTGGCTGCTGAATAGTGAACTTTGTATATCCTATTGTTTGATTTGGTTAAAATGATATTAAAACAGTTTAAAGCTTTGATGACTTTAAATTTTCCGATAAGTCGTAAAGTGTAGTCAGGGGTGATCGAGCGGAACAAGTGTTCTCGTGGATGTTTTTGATTGTAGGTTAACCGTCACACGAGGACGTGTACAATCAGGAAGGCCGTGTCGCAATCGACACGTGATTGCTGCAGCCAATACGAGATATGGAACGCAAGCGCCATCTGTCGGCGCTCAATGGGTCAACTATTCACCGGCTGAGCGGAGCGACGTGCCGGTATCTGCGTAATATCGGGCAATTTTGGTAAATAAGAACAATTTGGTGAGTCGTATTATTTTTATTTGGAATCTGGTGCCGAATGTTCTCTTGTCGGGAAATCTATTAGTAGTAGTAGTTTTCATAATTCAGGAATTTTATAAGGTTAAATTTTAAGGTTCTCATAAAGAGTCTGTTGTTTTGACCAAAACTGTACGGAACAAATCCTTTGCGATGGTTTATTACTTACTCATTTTTATGTCATGTACTACCCGATAGTTGTTTTAATCGGTTCAGTGAGATTGAGCATTCAACGAAATAAGCACTTAAATCTAGTGTGTCCTTATTCGAAGCCCACACTTGCGTTATTGATGACCAAACTCGCGATGAGCTCATAGAATTGTTAGAAGCCGTACATCTTTTTAAAATTGTTCTACCATAAGAATAACAGAGGCGAGCCCCTTCGAATTCTTAATAGTTCGCGTGCCATATCCCTAAAGGTTTTTACTTAAAATGATACTGAAAGTAAGAGATTAACTTTGACGAGACCAGAACATTGGAAAGTTAGTAAAATTTGATGTTCAATTTTGTTGAAATGAAGATAGATGGCTTTAACTGATAATAGAACATATGATTACATAAGGTTGTCTCTAAGTAGTGCTACTGACGAGACTGATCAGTGAGGTGAGAGTATCTCCATCGATTGGTACAGCGGAGACCTGGGTCTCAATGGAGACTATTGTTGTGTTGGTCTACTAATGACCTTGACTCTATATTGTGAAGTGATGTGTATTGGTTTTATCATTTGTTTTAATGATATTGTGGGTGGCAATGTCACTAGCTGCGCCGGCAGCCAGGCCAGGAGCGTTCTATACGATTTTGTTGACACTAGTGATGTAGAAGATGTAGGATCAAATGACCACGATACAACTGACTGATTAAAGTAAGGATTTTGTTGTCCTATTTTGTGTGATTAGTAAAGAACAGTATTCAGTGTTATTTATGACTGGTAATTGAACACCTCGCTCGATTTAGGTGATGTGTTCGTTTTATTGCCGGATGGAGGCATTGCGATGTGTTTTATGGTTGAAGTGGGTACTGGATGGAAGTTCCACTTGCGTGCCGGATGGAGGCATTAGTGTTTTGTGNCTTTGATATGTACACGCGAGGCATATCTAAAAATAGAAAACAATACGTAACTGATAATATAAATATTTACCAAACAATAAAATAACACATTGATAATTTTGAATAAAAGTTCTAGACAAAAACATCATGAATAAACCAGATTTTTACCAACAAATTTAAAAAATATTGTTATAACTACATAGACAACCCTAGAAACCTGTACCTATTTATACTTAGGTCGTTTCCATTTCACGTATTCTCATCCCAATTGACCCCTTTTTCGTTGTTATTTGTACCTAAGACGTCCCCAATATCCCCAAAAACAACAGATTTTTACATGTATTTTTATTTTATCAAATACATTAAAACCAATAACAACTGAGACTTACCTTTAATATACAAGATGGTTCAAACACTAAATAACGTTTATAAATCACAGTCGTCTTCTATTATTATTAAATAAATAAAAGAGAGCAAAGTTTCTAGCACTAAAATAATGACCACCACAGAAAGTTAATTTGAAACGCGATTTTTTATAAGTTAGCAGCTATTATCATGCATATTCAGAGTTGTTTCGTAAACTTTCAACATTCTACTATTAAACTACAAAAAATGGAAGATTTTGCAACGAATATAAAACTAATATTGAGTGTCGAAAGATTTTCGCCGGTTTTTTCCCGATTCGCCTCTCAATCCCTAATCGCCCCATTTTACGGTACATCTTTTTTTTTGTACATAGTACTTAACAAACACTGAAGCCAATGAAGTATGAAGCCATATCTGTAGCGAAATGATTGAAATGAAGCCGCAAGTTGTTGTGTAAACTCTCAATAAAGCGGTGCGAATTTAATAAGAGTTCAATTATCTTTTTAACAGAAGAAGCCATGTGATTTAGTTACATTTACCCACGTTGTGCTTACTTTTATTAACGCTAAACGGCCAATAAGCTACTAGAAACATTATGTACTGAGGTAATTTGTGGTTGAATTATTGGGTATATTAAAAAGAAAACGAGGTTTGACATCAAGATGATAGAACCGTGGAATGATGCTAATCTTCAACCACCACCGGTTAATACATGCTCAAGTGAAACTAGTGCAGGTAAATATATTTTTTATTAGTTTCCAGAACATAATTTTTAGTGTCAGATGGACAGGTTGATTATGAAAGTGGAACGTCAAATTCGATTTGATGGTTTACTTGTGGAATTCCTCAACAGAAACCCCTATTAATTAACGAAAGCACTTACTGTTATTTTTTATTGAAACATCTAATTTATTTGCAGATGTCAAAGATTTACGGCATATCTGCAATAATATTATATTGATATTGTCCAGACAGTCACCATTACATAGAGAAGGGGCGGTTTTCTCTAGACTTGTGTATAAATATGACAAGAAGTTTCGACACGATATTGGCTACAGATACTTTAAAAAAGTCAACATTGGACTGAAGAGGTACTTGGCAATTAAACTATTAAAAGACATAGAAAATTTTGTTGGTATTCTTCCAGAAAAAAACAATGATTATTTACCTACTCGACAAATGCTAGAATATATTTTGGTTAGGTTAATGACATTCTCTAAGATTATGGTGAGAATATGTATATGTACAAAGCAGGCAGCAATATTTTATTTGAATAGAGTAAAGAATGGAGAAAGTTACTGGATGTCTTTAACGCCATATGCATTGTTGAGCAGAATTTGGTCATTAAGTTTGGTTCTTACTAAACATGCTGTTAGATGGTACAACTCTTTACACCAGTATGTAAACCAGTTACAAATAAAAGGTTTGAATTTCTTACCTGAAAATTACACATTACCTGACAATTTAGAATTATGGCTCAATATGAAAAATTTGGATTGCTTTGGAAGATTTGAATGGTCTCAAAAACATGGTGTTGAGATTGACTTATCGTTAGATGATGACAATGATATTGGTATATTTGAGAATTTACTTGGTCATGTAAGTAAACTCTGTGAAGATAATCAAGAAATAGATTTAGGATTAACTGTAAATGAAAAGAGAGATACTCAGCAATTAGATATAGGTGAAACCAAAATTGATCATGGTGAGGCAGTTTCTAGAGATACTTTCAACATGTTACTCAATTGCCAAACTAAAAAACAAGCTATAGTTTGTAAGCATGATATTAATGGTATAAAAGATACACCAACATTGGAGACTTTTTTACACAAAGAAGAAATATACAGAAATGAAAATAATGCAATGTCATTAACAAACCATTTGAGTTTTATGCAATGGGAATCATTGAAAAGGGCATTAAACAATTTGCGTAATACATCAGGAAACAAGAACATTGAAAAGAAAATAAAAAATATCTGGAAAGAAAAATGTGAGGATTGTTTATATTAATGAATAAAATTTTATTGAATTTAAAAAATTTTTTACTAACTATATTTACAAAAACAGTAAATACAGCACCATTTTTATAAAAAAAAATATCTATGGATATTAGACAGCATGTTCAGGTACAATTTTTACAAGCTTTTATTATTACTATTGAAGTCTGCCTAGTTTGGAATGCATGAAGAACAAGGCTTATTTATAGCTTATTTAGTTCTTTGTCAAATCTTATAACATTATATTTTTAATTTTTATTATTTATAAGAACACTATTGAAATGTTTTCGTGGCCTGTAAAATAAGTATTCATAGAAAACTCATATTTATGTATAATCATAGTTTGTAATAAGAATGCTGAACTTTGTCACATTAAATAATTTAATATACAGTAAAGTTGATAATGAAATATATGATATATATATTTGAAATATATGATATATATTTAAATGTATTGTGTAAATGCTGAGTTTGACATAATATTCCTTTTTTTTCAGACAGCTGAATGAGGGTAATGTTTTATGTTTTATTTTATACTTTTAGTAACAATTGAAAAATATAAATGAGCTAAAGCGGTTTTTAATATTTTAAGTATTATTTAAAAGCTATTTTCGAGAACTGGAGAGTTTTTGCAGTCTAGCTTTGAGTCCACCTTCTTTAATGGGCTGTGTTAGAGATTTCCTCTCATCCTGTAACTTTCTGGTTTCTTTTAATCTGAAAAATTAACATTTCACATAAACGTTCTATTTTCAAACACAATTTCTTTAGAAAGACGTATAGTTATGCTCTTGTTATTACCAATGACGATCTGCCATTGCTAGTCGTTAATATGCGAGCCTGGCCTCCCATAATTGTCTTTAATACTACAGCAGAACTATTAAGCAACTGCTGTATGAATACATTTGATATCACTATCTCAAGATGAACATCAGCTTTTACACGGATCGGCACTTTTTATTTTAACCTTGAACATTCATGCTGAATTGGGAACCGTTTAGACTATCAAACCGCACATCCAACAAATACCACCTACCTTTCTTTTATAGCAAGCTGTTCTTCTTTCTTAAATATATCCTTGAAATCACTACAGAACGACGTCCAAAGAGAGAAGAACTCCTTCGGTTCGCATTCCTCTATTTTACCGCACTTTGATGAATATTGATAGAATTTTACTGTTGCAATAAATTTATTGCGACACTCCTCTAAATTTTCGTTTTCAGTCTTAAGTTTCTCTTCAGCAGCATTTAGGAATGTGGTCATTTTGTCTTTAAACACTTCTAGATTACCCTTACTCATATTACCAGGGGGTTCTTCGTTGCTTGTATTTCGTGATTGAGCATCTGATTCTATTACCTTTTTCGTTTTTTCTTTGCAGGCTGTGGAAAAACAATTAGTTATAAATGGCCAAATAATATAATTCTCCAAACCCTCCAATATCTTTTCTGTTGCTACTGCTACTGCAAGGACTGTTTTTATAATGACTGGCAGTTCAGGTGGATATCACTGTTCTGACACGGTGATTCCCTGAATATGTCTGTATGTATATGAAATGAGTTTAATTTCATTTTAATAAACGTTCACATATTTCGTTCTTATCATAGTTTCACTTTCTAGTATTGATTTAAACACCATTTAACCACCACACACAACGCGTTACATGAGGTTATACAGGCGTGATATACGAAGAAAACTGTTACTATGTGCTTTATCAATCAATCATTTTATTGGTTGTAGGAACTCTTGTGAGTCCGCGCGGGTAGGTACCACCACCCTGCCTATTTCTGCCGTGAAGCAGTAACGCGTTTCGGTTTGAAGGGTGGGGCAGCCGTTGTAACTATACTTGAGACCTTAGAACTTATATCTCAAGGTGGGTAGCGCATTTACGTCGTAGATGTTTATGGGCTGCAGTAACCACTTAACACCAGGTGGGCTGTGAGCTCGTCCACCTAAGTAATAAAAATAAAAAAACCTTTTATATTCTCGGATGTTTTAAATCGAACTAGTTATAAATCTACAAACCGTCAAGTTGTTTTCCTAAATTAGATAAATTCGAAGCGACATCGGCAAAGTCGATGGCGGCGGCTCGGGTGACGTCACCGGGTTCCGGCACCGGCAGCACGCAGGTGGCCGACAACGCGCCGCCCGTACAACGCATGTACGTGCGAACTATGAAGTGCAATAACGTCACGTTCGATTGCTTCGACTAAAAAACACAAAATCAAAGTTTTTAGTATAGCAACACTGAAACAAAAATATCAATTTGAGTTATTTAATTAAAAAATATTTAATTACCTTGACATCTTTTAGTTTGGCAAGTATTTCTAGGCCGAATCCATCGGCTTGGCCCCGTTGTCCGTTACCTCCGTTCATGTAGTTTCCCAGAGTTAAAATAATTGCAAACAATTTTTTCAGAGATTCACTAGTCATGAGAAACTGAAAGAAGGATACATTAATTTGCTTCAAGCACCGGATATGAATAAAGAACTGGATTACAATTTTAATAAAGTCAGTCAGTACCATCAAATAATAGTGGTGTACTTGGGTAAGAACAAAAAAATAGAGTATCCTGATGCCAATGCGGAGCACATTGGAAAAAAAATTGTTTGTCACTAAATTTCAAATTATTTGGACCTTAACGATTTAAAAAAAACACTAAAATCTATCTATATCTACTATTTATGGACCTAAGTGACATAGCAACGCAATATTCCGGGAAAAGGCAACGAGTTTTATTAATTTTGAATTACAAATGAACCGCGGGTGAAACCGGGGAACACTTCTAGTCTCATTTGAAAATAACGGACGATTTAGGTTTTCTGAAAATAATAAAGTACTGTAATTTCACTACCTGATTTATCTACGATTTTTTAGAATAAGTTTCGCTTATTATAGATTTTTTCCCCCCACCTAATCGTTGATAGCCTAAGGGGCTATTCCAACTTCGCGCGGACCGGCACGTGAGCTCACGGGCTCAACCTGAGAGAATTGCTTACACTAGCCGTAGCAAGAGCAGTGCTTTGCTGAATCTACTACCGGATCGAAATCGCGACCCACTGAGAAGATCCGGCGAGAGACTCAGTGGGTATAAGATACCAATAATTGTCTTGTATTTAGATATACCTCACATGTATGTTTCAAGTTGTCTAATTTGTGCATGGTTGTGTTTATGGCATCCTCAAAATCAGTTTGAAACATAAAACACGATATTCTTTCAGCAAAATTCGGTATACCGGACAGATCGTGCAAAAACGCCTCTGGGCGATCCAGTGGTATGTCCGGCTTGCACTTTAGATGTTCCTTTATCATTGCAAGTTCTTCTTCACTGGCCCGCTGCAATACATAGAATATTTAATGATTTAGCCTATACAACAATTACGACAATAAATAATATATTCCATTACAAAGATTAATTACCAGTTCATAAATTTGCTGTAATGCTTCTAAACTAACAACGGATGTATCAAAATTGTAAACTGCATTTTCAATCTCTGAAAATTCTACATGCAAGCTCTGGGCAAGTATTCCGACATTTTGCGATCTCTTACTATCCAAAATCTTCACTGGTTGAATTTTCGTTTTGACTTCCACTTTCTTTTTGGTAGGGGCTTTTATAACTTGACGCGAGAATAGATCAGTAAACTCGTCAATATTATCTAAACTAGTTTCTTCAATTTCTAACCATAGTGGTTTCAATATAGAATCTAATTCTCCATGACACGTTGGAATACTGGGTTGAGCTAAAATACGTGTCCAATATAAAGGTTTCATTGGGGCAGCAGGTTTCACTGGGGTTTTTCGAAGTGCTGAAAAATGTTTTTAATTAAGACAAATGTATACTGTAATATGTGGTTCATAATAATTTAATATATGTATTAGACATAATAAATAATAATTTAATATATGTATTAGACATAATAAATAATAATTTAAATTATATTCAAAACAACATTTTTGGGGGCAACAGATTGTTAAGAAATGTGAAGAAGTAATTTGTTCTGATTTGAAGGGTAGTAGAGACATTCAGATTTTAGTTTCTATAAACTCTAGTAACCATTTAATTCTTGACGGAAAGAGAAACTTAAAAACTACATGAAAAAAACAAAATAAGTTTTAAGTTTTAAATAAGAAAGTTTTGTCAAAAGATTAATTTAATAAATTGGTAAGATGTAAGATTCACTAACTTGATCGTTGTGTAGTCCAACCACCTACAGGAGGTGCTGGAAATGGTGCTGGTCCTGTCGGCGGTGGTGGAGGGGGACCAGGCCCCAATCCTGGCATACCTGGAGGAGGGGGTGCACCTGGCGTTGCAGGTGGCATAGGGGTTATGCCTGGCATAGGTGGAGGAGGTGGACCCATCCCTTGCATTGGCGGTGGAGGTGGTCCCATACCTGGCATAGGTGGAGGGGGCGGACCCATACCAGGCATTGGCGGTGGAGGTGGTCCCATACCTGGCATAGGTGGAGGGGGCGGACCCATACTAGGCATTGGCGGTGGAGGTGGTCCCATACCTGGCATAGGTGGAGGGGGAGGACCCATACTAGGCATTGGCGGTGGAGGTGGTCCCATATCTGGCATAGGTGGAGGGGGCGGACCCATACCAGGCATTGGCGGCGGAGGTGGTCCTGTACCTGGCATATGTGGAGGGGGCAGACCAATACCAGGCATTGGGGGTTGTGGTGGTCCCATATCTTGCATAGGTGGAGGAGGTGGTCTCATATCAGTCATTAGCGATGATGAAGGTTCCATGCCTGGCATGGGTGGTGGCAGAGGTGGACCCATAACAGATATTGAAGATGTAGGTTGGTTTAGATCACTTTTGTTTACATCTGATGCAATGTCTACATATGTTCCTGGCATGGGAGGTGGGGGCGGTGGCCTCCCGGGCATAGGAGGTGGTGAATGAAGAGGAAGATCTAACTTGATTTCTGGTACAGGTTGGGTTATACTTTGTTGAACTTTCACATCACTTGGAAAAACAAAAACATCATCCTGAATTGATGAAGATTCAACTTCTACAGTTGGAGATTTGCTTGTTGAAATGTTTTCATTTGAACATACTGGAGATTTTTCTTTATTTCTATCTACGTCTTTTGATAAGTCAGCTTGCAATAATTCAGAAGGTAGTTGGTTAGTCTCAGATGACGGCATTTGTTTACCAATGCTGACATATAATTCTTGTACATTTGAATCCGGTTTTTCTATAATATCTTTATTATATATTTTTTTTGTTTCAGAATTTGTACTAGGAGTATCTGTAATCTTGGTAGATGAACATGTGCTAACAAAAGATGTATTTGACTCTTTATCAAAATTTTGCTCAGTTTTACTATCCTTCTCAATGTCTTTTTTGGGATCTTGGTTTTGAATCTCTTCTTTTTCTTGTCTATTTTCATTTATACTGTCTTTCTTCAATGTTTTTTCACAATCCCTA